GGTGTGTCAGAGACAGTGCGATTTGCACAGGATAGAGCAGGGTTTAGGGCTGTTGTACATAGGGTCGTTATGAGTCGCAAACAACTTGACAGCACATAACAACAACAACAACAACAACATTAATCATATGGTTCTTCCTGAAATATTTCAGTGTCTGCTATTTCTGTTTGGTACAGTGATTCTGTGTATTCTTCTCCATCTTCTTTTGATGCTTCCTGGATCATTCAAGATTTTACCCATAATATATCTCAATATTGCAACTTGAGACTTGAATTTATTTTTCAGTTCTTTCTGTTCAAAAAATGCCAAATGAGTTCTTCCATTTTTATTTGCCAATTCCAACTCCTTGGACATTCCTCTATAATACTTTGGTTTATCTTTTTGAGCTGTCCTTTTAAATCTTCTGTTCAGGTCTTTTATTTCAGCATCTCTTCCCTTTGTTTTGGCTTCTTGATACTCTAATGCAATTACTAGAATCAGATGTTACTGGTAAACCACTAGTCACATTGCTTTGCTGTAACTGTTTACTTTTTCTGAACAGAGACTTAGAATGGATTTTTTTAAGACTTAATAGCACTGTGAGGTACATATTATTATTCTAATATTACTAATAAAGAAAAACAGCAATTCAGATGTAGCTAATAAGTAATAAAGACAGGAAATCTAACTCTAGTTCAGTGGGGTATTTTTGTTTTTAAAATTTTTAAATTTTATATTTGTTTGCTCACAAAGTTCATATATATTGTGTGTCACAGTATTCTTCATTTATATTGTGCTTCATACAATCATTTCTATGCATTGTGTTTATGCATTTTGTTTTATAAATTCAATCACCATTGGATCTTACCTATCATTACCCAATCTTTTCAGGTCCCTGCTGGATCACCCCGTTCCTCTATGCACCAAACTGTGCAACCTGTGGTTCTATACCTACCTATCCTCAGCCCGTGCTCCAACCCTTTCCTCTCTTGGGTTCCCATACCTGTTTTACTAGTTATCTTTCTATGTTTACAATATGGTTTTATGCAGTATTTGTCCTTATGAAACTGAGTACACACACTCAGCATAATGTTCTCCAGTCTCTCCCAAGTTATGCAGTATTTTTCAAAATCATTGTTCCTGATAGTTCATTGTTTTCAGCCACTGTATTAACCACTGTAATACCTTTTAGGGCAATAAGCACCCAATAAAGGAAATGCCTTTGGCAAGGGTCCAGTGTCGGTGTCATAAAATCGCACATCAGGATTTTTTCAAAATCTTAAGTTATTTAATATTTAGTAGTAGTACATTTATTTTTAAAATACTAAAAGTATATTAGAAAATATCTCCTATTCATGTTCCCTGGTAACTCAAGTATCTGAGGCACTGAGTATCATCTGTTTTCAGATGATACTCTAAACAAATATTGCACTGCAATCTTGAAGGCATGCAGGTCAAGGCCATGGGAGAGGGACGGGTAATCTCCTCCAGTGCGATTATTAACTGCCTCTAAAACCCAATAGAGGGTCAGCTATGCGTTGGTTCCAACTCGACGATACATAACAACAACATGTTTATCTCTCTCTCTCTCCATCCCTATGTTCTTTCCAGTTGCTAATCAATTTTATTTCTTACTTTTTTCATATAGCAAATGTCTTGGAAATTACTTTTATAAGACAAAATGTGCAACAATGAATGAATGGAAATCCAAGTTCTCTATAAACTTTCATTAAAATATCAATAAAAAATAACAACAATAAAAAGATTTAATTAAAGACTGCTTGTTCTGAATTTTAACTTGCGAATATTATCTTTACTTACATTTTACAAACAGAAGAAAATGGAAATATCTGAAGACCTGTACACAATGGATTTACAGAAGAATATTGGGTTGCTTTATGTAAATGAGTTAATGGCATTTCTAACTTTCCTGAAAAAGAAGTTGTTTAAAATTAAAATTTAAAGTGATAATATTACATAAACAATAAAATTAAATTCCAGTGTGGTTTTTAAATTCCAGTTTTTATGAATAATTTTTGTTTGATCTTCAGTTACAACAAAAATTCTTCAATAAAAAGAAATTTAGGTTACTCATATAAAAAATAAAGGTTTTACATTTCCAACTATATAAGGGATTAGATATATTACCTCTATGTCTGTTATCATAGTGGCGATTTTTTTGAAAACGCAATGACATGAAAATTTACTGATCTTACTCATTGTAAGACAACATCTTAAGAGCTTTATGAGATATACTATTATTCTTATTATTCTAAATATTGCAAATATTAAGCAAATATTATTAGTATTAGTCTGAACTCTAGTTGACTTAATACTAGAGTTATATACTCTTAGGAAGCACTTAAAGAACTATGATAATTTACTCCTAAATAGTCAGTATGTTCCATTACTTTAATAAATAAAGCTGCAAACTTCCTAGCAGATAATGAATTAGACCCTATTAGAAATATAATTAATAATGGTATCATCAATATAGTTTAGAAGCAACCTAATATGGGTTTATAACAGAAAAGATTAATCTGAGCTTCTAAATTTGATAGGATGACAATATTAGTAAATCAGAGAATTACAAGATTACTTTAGGACATTAAAAAGATAAATTTTAAAACGTATAACAGAGGTTAGCAAGATTGCTAATAGAAAGGTAAAATATTTTTAATGTTTATATTTATTGAGTTATTTCTATTTTTAT